TGGCTGAGATTAAAGTTATAGTTTTTACACAGCTGAATAAACGTGAAGCAGACAGCTGATTATCAGAAGTGTGAGATGCTCCAGAATATACTCCGGTGTCCTGTTATATTTTAGATTGCAAGGAGTTTATTAAACTTCACCGAAACAATCTGCAAACTTCATTAAAATTTAATAAACTATTATCTTGTCTTTATTTTTAGTTAGCACATACGTTAAACACTTAAAGCTGTAAGCTAATGATAGTTATATAAGAGCAGATGCATGCTGGTGCAATAAGCTGTATGCTGTACATCCAATGGATGCATGATCTGATTAGTCGACTAATTGCAAAAATAATTGGTGACTAGTCGACTATCGTTTGTGGCAGCCCTAGTGTATACACACGTGTTTTACACCGAATATCTTTGCTTATATTCATAAATAGTCTGCAGTCAACAGAATTTACAAAAGGGGTTATATATAAAGTAAAGAAATGATCTGTTTTACAATTATCTTTATGACTGCGTTATTGTACATACTGTGTTCTACCTTATAAGCAGTCCAGTCTTTTTTGGTAACTTAAAATATCTTTATAACTGTTATATTTGTTGCAGTTTCTGCTGCCCTCTTGGCCTGATCGCTCTTGAAAATCACATTTTTAATATCAATGAGGATTTTACATAATTTTATTTATGAGTGTTAAAGTTGGTTTACCAAAAACTGACTGTAGCTTCTACCTGGTGACAAAATGTTCTTTCTGGCTTAAAATGGCTGTTAACTGAGATCACTCATAAGAGATATGTTTGACATATGTTTCACAGAAAATAGGCCAACAAGTAATTTACAACTGATTAAATACCTACAATCATTTTTTGGCAAATACCAGAAATCACTTTTTGTCTAGCTGTCCAGAGACAGGAGGGTCTGGCAGTAAGTAGTTGGAACAATGCTGGGGATAAATAAGCATGTTTATGCATGCATCTGTGTGTTAAGACCATTACACAACAATCTATTGTGAAAAAACGACGTGAAATTCAGATTTTGTTGCGTAATGCGCGCACACACACACACACACACACACACACACACACACACACACACAGAATGGGGTTTGTTTTTGCAGAAAATCCACCCTAAAAAAATCCATTGTGACAAAAAAGTCAATATCAAGCCATGATGAGACATTCTGGGTTCATCCAGAATCCAGTTCCCAAAGCAGCAGCAGGGTTGGATAGTTTTTGTATATGTTTCATGTTGGCCAGTTTGAACTCTTGCTGGCAGAACATCTGAAGAGGCAGAGAAATAATCTCAGAGCTGGCAGACCTGGAGCAGTGTCTAGCTGCGTGTCTTAAGTAAAATAGTATTATTTTACTATTTGGATATTCAGTAACAGTGTGCACTTTGAGTTACAGCACACTAGTTGGCAAATGCAGTGTTCTGATTGGTCTGATTGATTTTTTTAGAGCTAAAAAAATAAAAAAATAAAAAATCAAGCTTGGTTTGAAAAAACATAAATGCTGCAAATTTCATGTATATTTGGACACTGACACAAGTTCTGTTTTTTTTAACCTGTTTACTGAAACATGGACATGGATGTAATATGTATACTCTAAGCCATAGGTGTCAAACTCTGGCCCACTCTGGCCCTAATTATATTTGGCCCACAAAGCCATACCAAATTACTATTAGAGCTGGCCTACTGGTATTATACAGCTAATATATATATTATTTAGTAGTAAGCTTTGCTTGTTCCATATTCAGTTTTTCAGCAAAACTTGTTTGAGTCCATAAGAAAAGATTCATTCTTATATCTAGAGGAAGATTTTTTTTTCAATAAATATTAATGTTAGCCCGCGACTTTGTTCCAGTTTTGAATTTTGGCCCACTGTGTATTTGAGTTTGACACCCCTGCTCTAAGCCTTTATTTGAGGGTATCCGCATTCAAACGGGATTGAGAGTTTCAGCTCCCCCTTGTGTTGTCCTCGGGTCAAAAATGACCTGTAGGTGAATGGCAAACAAGTATATTGGAATCCCGAGGACAACACAAGGGTTAACATGTGGCACTCTCTTTTTAAAGAGACCAAAGGTAATTCGAATAATTGACTCAAAGGCTATTTCATGGGCAGGTTTAGGCAGTTCCTTTGTTATGTCATTATCAGTTAAGAAGATAAAATGCTAAAAGACCTGGTTGATTTGATGTGTGGTGCTTGCATTTGGAAGATTTTGGTGTGAACAGCAACACAAAGAAAGCACTGGTGACCTCAGCAATGCACAAAGACCTGGACGTCCACAGAAAACAACAGTGGTAGATGATTGCAGAATCATTTCCACGGTGAAGAGAAACCCCTCAACAACAGCCAACCAAGTGAACAACACTCTCCAGCAGGTTGAAATATCGATATCTAAAGAGAAGACTGCACGAAAGTAAATACAGAGGATTCACTGCAAGGTGCAAGCCACACATAAGCCTCAAGAACAAAAGTGCTAGATTGGACTTTGCTAAAAATCTAAATCTTAAAAAAGCCAGCACAGTTCTGGAAAAATATTCTTTGGAAAGATGAAACCAAGTTCAACTTCTATTAGAATAATGTCAAGAAAAAAGTGTGGAGAAGGCGTGGAACAGCTCATGATCCAAAAAACCCCACATCATCTGTAAAACACGGCGGCGGCAGTGTGATGACTGCCAGTGGCACTGGGACGCTAGTGTTATTTGAAAGAGAAGGTTTGATTGTTCTTGAGAACTGTTTTGGAGGAAGGAAGGTTCAGGGTTGAGTAGTCATCATCATGGGCTCATCCGAGTAGAATGAGAATAAGCAGTCAATTTACAGGTTTTGTCGTTTTATTGAATAATGGGTAAAGGAAGGAAAGACACACATGGACTGCTATCTCT